CAAAATGTGAAGCGAGCAGCAGCGAGGACTGAGTCGGGTGAAGTGCTATATCAGAGAAGGCGCTTTGGAGAGATGGGAGGGAATAGTATGCCAGTAAGAGAACCAGCAAGGCAGAGGCAAAGAGAGGAAAAACCAGAGATATTTCCAGGTAACAGCAATGAGTTTGCTCCAGCTCAATCACAAAGAGCAGGAAAGTAAGACTGAGAGGAGGTGAAAAAATACCACTACTAACTTGAGTGATGAAACAGATAGAATTTTACAAACAGTCTGAGAAGTGGTAACAATATGATAAAAATAATGCTGCTTCTGCTAATGATGACAGTAATAACAATGGCAAATGCTTAGTGAGCACTGGTTATGTGCTAGGCACTGTTCTAAGTACTTTCCATATAGGTGCAATCATTATTCCCACTGACAACTGAGGAAACTGAGGACAGAGAGGTAAGCAAGCTACCCAAGCCACAGAGCTATTGGATGGCAAAACCGCAACTAAAGCCCAGGCCCTCTGACTCCAGCGCCTACTCTGAACCTCTCTGTCATGCTGCTGGGCAGGCTCTGCAGTCAGGCCGACTGGAGACTGATCAAGAGCGGTCTGATCCTGAGCCAGCCCTTACCTCCAGTAAACCTCAGTGAGCGCCTCTGTAAAACAGGGCTGCCAATAGTACAAGCTCAGCAGAGGGCTTCTATGAAGATTAATGAAAAAGCATATTTATAAAGTTAAGTGCTAAATAAATGTGAGTTATTTTAGACTATTAGTAATTTATTAGAGAGAATAGTAACAAGATTAAAATTCGCAAAGATAACAAATGGTCCTGTCAGTAAGTTTCCTACCTGAGTGGGCGTGGCCAAGCCCTCCACAAAGGAAGGCGTGATGTTGCCCGCCATGATCCAGCTCACCAAAGAAGAGAGCAGACTCCGGTCACAGTGGTAACCCAGTGCGTTCTACAGCAGGGAGAAGACATGGAGCACAGAGAGGAGGCTTTAAAAATCTTACCAATGACCTTTTCAAGAGTATCAACAACTGTCTTACTACAATGAAAGAATCTAATAAGACACAGATTTCAAGAATGAGTCCACTAGCAGCCATAGTTCCAGGTAGCACATTATAGCCAAATGTAACGAGCAGGGCTCTTCCCGGGTGTCCTCTCCTTTGACTTCCCTGGGATCTGCACTAGTTGACTATAATTATTCAGATTACAGATTAGACACCATTAAGGCAAAGCTTTAAAAAGGCAGTGGCCACAGAGGAATACTGAGAACTGTGCTTTGGGGGAACATTTTTAGAAAGCTACTATCTAGCCAATGAATGAAAGATAAATTCTCTAACAGGTTTTTTACCTTGTGCTGCTGGTAGAGTAGTTTCTGCACACAGTCTTCCTGCATCAGCTGAAAAGCTGTTTTACACAAGTGGTCCATGAGGAAGAGGATAGGTTGCTCTCGGTACCAAAGACGTTGGCTTATGAGAGCCTGAACCCAGAACTCCAACACGGCAACAGGGCCCACCTCGTTGGGCTGAGTGCTTACAGATATGTGCGCCTGCGAAGAAAAGGTTCAGGTGATGTGAAAGGTAATAACCAGCCTTCCATTTTTAAAACCCCAACCAAACAATATCTACCTCCACTACGAAGCCCAAATCTGTTGACCTTGGCCAAAAGCACTGAGCCAAGTGATCTGAATTAACCAAATCATAACTGTGTTAACACTAGAGGTTTTTGGTTGGGACGACAGGCAAGGGTCTATTTAGAGGCTGGGAGGGGCTCTGACCTGGATCATGCTATTAAGAAGCTTCACGTTGTCCCCATGGCTAGCTCCCGTCAGATGTTGCGCCACCTTGTGGGTAACCTGCTGCGTGACACCCTGAGGTACGCCACTGTCCAAGTGTAGGAACAGGAGGAGGTGAGACAAAAACCTGCCAAGCGCACAGGATGACACACTTTACCTTCCCGTCAGGAGTCAACAGAATTTCCAGCAGCTATTTACTTATGAGGAAACAGAAAAATATTAAACTGGTCCCAGTTTTAGACCAAAGCACTGTTTAGGGATTCTAATAAGTCCTCAGAAATTTCAAAAAATGAAGTTTTCAAACTTAATGTGGATTAAAAGACACTCTATCTAGCTGAAGCCTAACAAACAGATCTAAGATACACAAACACATGCAAGTTCAAGAGCATTAGAGGAAAAACACCCAAAAGCACCACTATCCCCTCTACGCTCCCACCTCTGCTAATAAAAACAGCGATGTTTTCCAAATCATTCAATTCCCAAGCTTGCCTAGTGCCCAGGGTGCTAATTTTAAAAATAAATAAATAAAATAAAATAAAAAGGTTCCTGGACCCTAGCCCATTTCCAAAGTAAAAACTCCAGGAGAGGAGCCTGGGAATCTATATTTAGTAAGCTCTTTTGGGTGACTCTCGTCATTAGCAAGCATGAGACACACAGTAAGAAAATCGTTACGTTCCCCGTGTCCTTGTATGTACCTGTCCCCCACCATGCAGGGTTCCTCCACATCGGGCCACGCCTCCCTTCCACCACTCTTCGAGAGGCCCCAGCCAGATGCTCACCTCCCCACTTCCTGGACAGGTAGTTCTCTTCCCACCTTCGTATGTACCTGTCTGCAACACTGCACTATGCACACTGGGCAACTAAAAACAACGTGCTTTGCTATTGTTACAATGGCAAAGCCATTGCTGCTCAACGTCAGCAGCACCATTTCCAGAATATCACAAAAACATCTGCTCTTTTAAATACTAACATGCTATAATTAGCAATCCACAGTTAAATGAGAAGGAAAAGATCTTTCATGATCATAAAAATAGAATCATTATTAGAATCACAGTTCATCAACCTGCACTCTAAAATGGGGTGAAAAGTTTTCTGCCCCATAAAAAATACACTATTGAAGTATCATTCCCTTTATTTTACTTTAGAAACCAGAAGACATAGTCATTTGTACTCTCTAGGCTGTTTCTAAAGAATGGATGGAACATACTTACTGCTCGTTCTTTAGAAGATAATACTGGCAAGGGTAGAACAAAGGTAGGATCTTATCCAGGACATGGACCACTGTTCTCAAGTGCCTCGACTGGACCAGAATTCCCAACAGTGAGATGCCTTCTGCACAGAACTTCTCGATGCTACAGAGGAAGAAAAATGCAATGAGCATACAAGGTAGCCGGTTCATAAAATTACATTCATCCAATGAGCAATCATCAGCCTACAATACCTGGATTATCTCAGGTTTCCAACATATTTCTTATACCCAATCTTCACACAGAAATACTAGAACCAGAACTCTGAGGTTACAAAAGAACTTAAAAGTTCATCTATATTTTCATTTTGTAAATGAGGAAGGTGAAGTATCATGCCCAAATTCACATAATTTCCTACGGTAGGTTCAAAAGGAAAACCCAGGTTTGCAAATTTCTAATCCAGAGCGCTACCATTACCACATTTTGTTTCTCAAAACCGAGCTTCTGAGAGCCATGGGGTCTCTTCTTGTCTGGATATTCACACAAGGTATTACAGTAAAGAGAAGATTCAAAAGTGAGCCCAATCTAATCTGTATCCCTTTTCCGAAATGGTTGAGACCAAAAGTGTTTCGAATTTCGATCTTTAATCCAAAAACCCAAAATCCAAAATGCTCCAATGAACATTTCCTTTGAGCATCAGGTGGGTGTACAAAAAAGTTTCAGATTTTGGAGCATTTTGAATTTTGGATTTTCAGATCAAGGATACTTAACCTGTATAAATTGCAAAATTCTTCTAAAACCAATTTGGCATAAAAATTTTCTTATTCTTTGACTCACTTCAGAGAATCTATCCTTAAGAAATAATCCTAAATATGGAAAAAAATATAAAAAATGATCCATGCAAAGATGGACTTTTCAGACTTATTTATAAAACTCAGGCAGAAAATGATTTAAGTAAATTTTAGAAAAATCTATTCAATGGGAATTTTATTGCATCATTTATTAATACACATGATGACCAAGGGCAATGAGGAAAAATACTTCCACTATAATGATACTGGGGGGAAAAAAAAAACATAAAATCTTATACTCAAGATTACAACTACTAGTAAAGTTATTTATAGGGTGGAAAATACAGGGACAATGTCACAACAAAATGTTCATTGTATTGGAATGGTAGAAGTGAGTGGCTTTTTCTCCATTTTCCTAATTCTGCAGTTTGATTATACTGCTTTAATTCTAGAAGGAAAAATCATTTCAAAGAATAATAGTGCAAAGGTTATGCCACAAGGGAAGTATTTACAATATTAAAGTAAAAACAAAGGATATAAAATTATATATATATTATAACTTTAAAAAAGATCAAAGGAAAAAATACTGTATAAAAATAAACAGATAAAACAGCAATGTTTTTAGGGTGGGAAAGATTCTGACTACTATTCTCTGTACTGTCTGCAATGTTATAGTCGTGTATAATGTATATCCCTACCTGCTCCGTCCCCAACCCCAAGCCCATTCATAAGATTATTTTAAGCTACTCTAGTACAGCTACTTCCTAGATGACTACCGTGGAGTTTTACACTAGAAGTCAGCCCTGAAGAGAAACACTTATTCTCACCTTCACTCCCATTAAGCATTCAGTAATCAACACTAACCAAATATTTATGCAGTAACAGTGAATAAACATAGTAACATAGCAGTAACAGTGAATAAAGAGCTATAGCCCAGAATCGATATAAGAAATCAGAAAAATCATGAAACACTTAAGTTCAGATAACTGCACTCCAAGAATCCATACGCCAGACACTGTTCTAAGTGTGTTCCAACTGATTTAAGCTTCATAAATTAAGTGCAATATTATTATTATTCCCATTTTAGAGATGAGGGACCTAAGGTACGGGACACTGTTAACGACAGTAGAGCTACTGGAAACAACATAAAGAGTGTTTTTGTAAGGGCCTTTATCAGTTCCTTTTCTAGATCAATTCTACCCTCTCTTACTTACTTAGCTTTCAAATTTGTCCATAATTTGGCCCTACCAACCACCTGATCACCTCCATTCTCCAACACGGATCAGATGACAGGCTTCAGTCTGGAGTGTTTCCTCATCACTCCCTTCCTCTCGCCCCACCCACTCAGACAACTGACGCTCCTTCCCACATTCATTCGACATACCAGCATTTGTTGAAAACCTACTAAGTACAAGTTTTGGAGATGCACAGATGAACAAGACAACACCCCCACCTCCACAGAGCAAACAGTCCATGAGGAGAGAGATGGACCACGATTATATTACAATACAAAACAGTGAGTGTGTGGTTCAGAATGCACAGGTGCTGCAAGTGGCAGGAGATGGCCCTTGAGCTGAATCTTCGATAAACTCTTGGGCACTAAGTAGCTGAGGAAGGAATGTATCATCACTCTGCTCCTTAGCCTCAGGTGTTGTCCTATTAATAATTCGTTTTGTGTTGCTATAAAGGAATACTCAAGACTGGGTAATTTTTAAAGAAAAAAGGTTTATTTGGCTCACACTTGTGCTGCCTGGAAGGAAGACTGGGCATCTGGTGAAAGCCTGTTGCTGCTTCCACTCATGGTGGAAGGCAAACAGGGACAGGCACGTGCAGAGATCACACAGTCAGAAAGGAAGCAATGGGAGGGAGGTGCCAGGCTCTTTTCAATAACCAGCTCTCACAGGAACTACTAGAGTGAACTCACTCATTACTACGAGGACAGCACTAAGCCATTTATGAGGAATCTGCCCCCATAACCCAAACACCCCTCACTAGGCCCTACCTCCATCACTGGGGATCCAATTTCAACACGAGGTTTGGGGAGACAAACGTCCTAACTATAGCAAATGTCTTCTCTAAATTAAGATTCCTTCCTAAAAGTCAGCTCCCCAATGAAAGTATCCTGGCCCTACTGATCTCTCCTTCTTTTAAATTCTTTCTGCTCAGATTCTAAGTGGTTCTCAATCCAGGCTATACATTAGAGACATCTAGAGAATTGGTCCCCAGCCCAATTAGGTAAGGATTCTGACTCCCTTCCCTGCACTAGGATATTTTTAAAGGTTCCAAAAGTGATTTTAAACAGCAGCAAGAATTGAGAATCACTGTTCTCTACATATCATTCAGCCTGTGCTTATACTCTATACTATTGCCAATCGTTTTATGCCTACATCTCCACTAAGCTATCAACAACCGGAGGTCAACTATCTAATAAATCTGTATCTCTCCTCCTTCCTAGCACAAGACTGAACACTACAGCTGATAGGACAATTGGTATCTCACTGAAATTATACATAATTAGGAACAAGATGTTGAAATGGTGCTAAAAATGCACGACAGTAAGTCTGAAACACAAGAACCAGAAAGCACAGGTCAAAGAGGCTTTAGCAAATGGACTGGCTAGAAAAAAATTAATGCTTTAAAGAAAAGGATTTTTAACCCAACTAAGAATTCATTCATGCATTCAATTATTTACTGCACCAGATACAGTCTTCATTGTTAGGGATAAAATGGTAACACAAGACAAATACCATCCCTGGGTATTAACCTCATGTAAGTTATATGTAACTAGATCCCTGAGAAAATTAAACAGATAACTTCAATACACTGTGATAAATGCTCCGGTGGAAGACATGCAGATAGCTATGGGCTCATACCAAACAGGCATGTGACCTGATCAGGCATTTCATTCTCCTAGACAGGCCAAGACCTTTAGTCAAGGAGCTTGAGTTGGGCTGCCACTGCTTTTTAAAAAAATTCACTACAAGTGATCAATTATTTTTATTTGATCATTAATCTTGAGGAAGAGAGTACGAATCTACTGCTGACATGAACATTCCACTCTGAGTGACAGGTATAACCCCCTTCATAATGACATAAGGTGACTTGCTGGTACAAATTTGTCGTATGTGAATTTGGGCAGCATTTCCCCTTGATAAGCTACTAATCAAGGCTTATTAACGGCCCTAATATCACTCAATAGGTTTGATGGAGGCCAGAACTTGGGATGTGAAAGATGAGATTCTAGAACTACCATCTATAAGGTTCAGCAACCCTAGAGGTTCAGCCCAAACACTGTACCTGTGGCCCACAGCTGTCATAGATAAGGCTAGATAACAGCCAATGGGCATGCCCGCTTTCACAGCCTTCAAGAGAGGATGAAACGTGGGTGACTCTGTCATGTCAGGCACAGTGCTGGAGAAGGGAACAGCCGGACAACTCTGCTGTATTCCATAATCGTTTTTGTGCAGTTTTAACCTCAAGATCAAATTCCAGGCCCACTGGTTAAATGAGGTCTCAGGTGTCTCTCCATATCGAACAATGCTGGCCAAATATGAAACCTAAAACAATTATTTATTTTAAGCCACATTAGTTACACACAAATTAAATCAGTAAGCTCATCCACCCATTTCCTTTTGTGATCAACAATGCCCTTGAAAGAAAGGATCACACTACACACTGGTCTTCAATAGATGTTTGCTACACTGCATTAAAGCAATTTCTCACTCACAATGACCATTTGCTAGTCACTTTGTTAACCTGATCTTAGCTCAAATAAAAGAAAAGTGATATAAGAGTTGATACTCAACGAATGGTGTGCTAGGAAGTAAGCTGAACAATTAGGGTAAGGGGTCTCATATATAGCATCTGCCAGCTCTGGTGGTGTAAAAACTCCTGCCATGGCCAATTTCAAACTACTAACAGCTTAACAACCTGGGTTGCAAAGTTCCTGAAAATTTAACAGTTAGTTCTCCCAAGCCAGTACAAGCGAGCTCTAGCATACCAGTGTAGCTCAACCCAAATTCTATTGACATTAAAATGGTTATATAAAGGTTACCTCTTAAATAAAAATCTTTATCAAATCATAGAAGTTAATTTTTATATCTTAAATTTCCAGAAATGTTCTTAGGGTATCTAAGAGTCCATACTTTATCTGCCCAGGCCATTTATAAATAAAGATTTATGTTCTCAATGCAGAAGAGAAGGAAATACCTGCTTCATACTTTCAGAAAGAAGCCCAGCATATGGCTTCTGTGCAAGGTACTTCTGGTAACCTTCAAGAACCATTAAAGCCACTTCAGCATGGACTGCTTGATCCAGATGCAAGGTACCCTTTTAGAAAGAAAAATAATCACACACATACCACCTTGGGTTTCTTGTTCATGAATTAAGTCTACATTCCCTTTTCTTGTTCTACCATTATTAAAATAAATAAGATACTGAGCAACACAAGTAAAATATTTCCCCTGAATCTGAAGGTGCCTATCAAATTTCCCACCCTATTTCCTTTACAGCCTGAAGAAATACATTCCTTCACTCTCTCAGGAAGATGGCTTTCCCAACTCTAACAAAGGAATGAGGAGACGCTCATGCAGCTCTCTAGCAAACCCTTAATCATAAACTATTATTCATAACAACTACACCAAGTACTTAACGTATGCTAAGAATTGTCCTAAATGTTTTGTGTCCTAATTTGTTGAATCCTTACAACAACCCTATGAGGTATATCTATTAATATCAAATTACAAATGAGCCACTGAGGCCCAGAGAGTTTGGGAAACGTGCACAGGGTCACACAGCCAGGAGGGGACAGAGCTGGGATCAGAACCCAGGCAGGCTGGCTCAGAGCTCAGTCTCTTAACCAAGGCCCAGTATTTCAGAAGACAACTCTGGCAGGACAAATTACAGGAGGAATGGGGACTGGAGACAATTAGGAGGAACTACATTAACTAGCCAGAGATAAAATAACAGATACAAGCAATCTAAGGAAAAGGAGAAGAATTTTCAATATGGAACAATTTATCTTCATTTAGTGGTGGCTCACTCTGCAAAACAGAATTAAAGAGAAGATCCCAAACTCTGACACAGCTAAAAGAATTTGCAGACCTTGCAAATGATACTTAGAAATGTTAATGTTTTGAGAAAACACTTCTTTGAAACCCATGCATGTAGAACCTCCAGTCTCTAAGGAATGGTTTTAACACATACCTGTTCAGCAAATCCCCAATTCAGTCCTTCTAGAATAACACAGGCCAGTTTATTCTTCACCACTGTTAGGTTGTAATTCAATAACCAATCCCGAATCACAGCTATCTCGGAGGCAGAAGGTCGCCAAAGATACAAAGGCAGTTCTTTAAACAAGTATAGAGAAACCTTATTAAAAAGAAAACGATAATCATTAAAATCAAGACTTAGGGACAATCTTATATTACAATACTAGATTATAAAACTGCTTGCAAAAATTTTTCTCCAAAAGGAAATGGGTTTGATTTTTAGATAAGTGAAATGGAAATCACAGATAACCAAATCAAATGGGTATTAAAACTGATGCTATATCAGAAGCACATTTTGCAATCCTTTATAAAGACCAATCTTCTTTTTAATGTGTAAATTGATGTGCTTCAGTTTAGGTAAACCATCATAGTAAGATACAAATTTAAAGTTGTGATAAATCAGGGCACATTCACTTTACAAAAAAATTTAGCGCTTTAAATAATTATTTCTTCCGTGGCATTTAAGAGGATATTTCTATTGGCTCAAAGCAACCTGGGGGGGGACAGGGAGTAGATGGGGGCTATCATGGAAAAAGCCCTGGAGACATTAAAAGGTGTACAAGGGAATATTACAAACGACTCTATGCCAATACATTCAACTAGTTAGATGAAATGGGAAAATTTCTTTAAAACATAACTTGCCAAAACTGACTAAAGAAAAAAAAAAATCTGAATAGTCCCGTATCTTTAAAGAAATTCAATCTGGGCCAGGCGCGGTGGCTCATGCCTGTAATCCTAGCTCTCTGGGAGGCCGAGGAGGGTGGATTGTTTGAGCTCAGGAGTTCGAAACCAGCCTGAGCAAGAGCAAGACCCCGTCTCTACTAAAAATAGAAAGAAATTAATCGGACAACTAAAAATATATAAAAAAAACTAGCCGGGCATGGTGGCGCATGCCTGTAGTCCCAGCTACTCGGGAGGCTGAGGCAGGAGGATCGCTTGAGCCCAGGAGTTTGAGGTTGCTGTGAGCTAGGCTAACGCCACGGCACTCTAGCCCGGGCAACACAGTGAGACTCCGTCTCAAAAAAAAAAAAAAAAAAAAGAAAAGAAATTCAATCTGTTATCAAAAGATTTTCCACAAAGAAAACTCCAGGCCCAGATGATTTCACTGGTAAATTCTATCAAATATTTAAAGAACAATTAATAGCAATCTTAAAAAAGAATTAATAGCAATCTTGCAAAAACTCTTTCAAAAAACAAGAAAGAGGAGGGAATGTTTCCCAACTCATGTTATAACATTAAAATAATACTAAAACTAAAACCTAATAAAGACATGACAAGACAATAAAATGATAGATCAATAACCCCTCGTGAATATATACGAAAATCGTCCGCAAAGTATTATCAAATTGAAACTAGAAATACCTCAGAAGGATAACATGATGATCAAGTGGTTTTTATTCCAGAAAGAAACAATGATGATTCAACATTTGAAAATCAGTTGATGTAATTTACCACATTTAACAGAATAAAGCAGAAAAATCGTAAGATCATCTCAATGGACACAGAAAAAAACACTTGAATACTCACTCATTAAAAAAAAAAAAAAAAAAAACCACCTCAGCAAACTGGAAATAGAAACTTCTCAGCCTAATATAGAGCATGAATGAAAAACCTACAGCTAACATTATACTTAACAGTGAATTTTTAAACCCTTTCCCCTATGATAGGGAATGAGGTAAGAAATGGCCATTCTCACCATTATACTTCTATTCACTATTATAATAAAGACCCTAAAGTCAATTCAATAAGGCAAGAAAGAAATAAGGCAAAAGAAATTAAAGGTATAAGGATTAGAAAGGAAAAATCCATTTAAGAATTCTTGTAAAAATTCTCAACAAAATAGGATTTAAATAGTATATTTTAAAATATATCTATGCTTTCACTGAAAGTCAAGAGATCACTAATCTTACTTGAAGAGGTTATAGGGAACACACATGGATTTCACTAACAGAAGTAGAAAGTGTCCTCTGACGTGAGCCAATTTTTAAAATTATAAAATAGGCCAAAAGGAAAATATGACATCAATTCGCAGGTTGTCATGAAATATACTTCTGAATTCTATACTTTGGGAACTCCCAAAAGGCTTTGTCCTTATCAGCACCGACCCTAATCCAGAGCAATCCCCTCTCAGGCTGGGCCTTTAGAATAGAAAGTTATCTTCACCTACACTCCAAGTATGTCAATGAAAGTTCAGAGCCCCCACCATAGCTCATTCCCAGACTCTGGGGCTAGAGACTGATTCCAGACGAGCCCAAGGTCATTGTGAAAATATTCAAAGCCATCATATTCATCTGAAGGCATGAGGGTTTGAACAAGTCCCTCCAAAAACCTCAGCAAGTTCACAGAGCACAATGGAACCTTATGTATAAACCAAGAGTAGAGGTGGAGGAGGCAGGAGGATGGCTTGAATCCAGGAGTTCAAGGTTGCTGTGAGATATGCTGACGCCACTGCACTCTACCCAGTGGCAAGAGAGTGAGACTCTGTCGCAAAAAAAAAAACTACATGAAGATTGCAAAAGGGATTGTGACAACTGACAGAAATAAACTACAACTACGTCTTGCTCAACTTAAATTACTATGTACTTTTAATTTTGCTGTTGACTGATTTTAAATAGGGCCTTCTTTCTTAGTCACAGTTGTTTCCTCTAAGTATGAAACATAAGAATTATGAAAGCCAAACAAATTGTGAAATAAAAATTGTTAATTAGCTACAGGCTGTAACAAAGCAAAAACCTGTTATTGGAGGAGTTTGGAAAGTCAACTTTGAGGAGATTTGACAGAAACAATCACAGTTCTTCATAAGCAGCAGCTAATCCCATGCTGGCGTGGTGAGTGGCACAGAGCCCAGCAACACAGTAAATGTTAGTTCCCTTCACTTCACTCTGTTGTGCCCTTGACAGACACAGTCATTCCCGACATCTGTCCTATTTTTGCCATTGTTCCATTCCTTCAGGATTTTTTTTCAAAAAAACAACAAAAACAAACAACATCAGTGCTCTTACCATTCCAACTTGGTCAATGGTCTCTTGAACTCTATCCAAAAGGACAGAAATTATCTCAGGGTGAACAGCTGTGATGGCCCCTAAAAGCTCTCGGCCGACCTTTGAAAAAGTCTCTCTGGTGGACAAGGTGACATAAGACACCTAAATGGGGGTGGGGGGAGATGGCACTTTAAATATCAATTAGCAACCAAAACAGATGTACGCAGTTTTTTCCAAGTAAAACAGAAAGAATCTCACATTGAGCCTCAGTTCACACCATGTTCAAAAAAATGTCAGAACTTCATACAGCAAACTGTTTACCTTGAGGCAAGAAGGTAAGGAGAGGAAGGGAATGGCAACTATTTATAACAGTGACTTTAAGTGTAGATCCAAAAAGTATATCCCAAAGTAGTCAGTAGCATAAAGCAGTCCCTTCAGTTTCAAAACTTGTCTAAGCTTGAGGAAATTACTAAAATGATGAAAATCAGAATGTATTTCATGGAAATGCCCATTCTCTCCCACAAAATAAGATCCCTAACTACAAGAGCTTCTAAAATACCAGTATTTACCAACTCCTTTTGAACGATTTCTTTCAAACTACAGGTTACAATCCATTAACGCCAATGTTCGGCATTTCTTAATACAATGGAATAGACAGAAAAATAACAGAATAAAACAGAATAGAAAATTTAAGGCTACATCACAGGAAGATTAGATACTGTTTCAATTACACACACACAAGGATCAGAATGTGATACAGAACCTAATTTTTACTGTGACTCCTGGTCAAAACACTGGAAACATTATTCAAGAGCACAAATACTACTGTAGCAATAATCTTGAGAATGTCATTTAATGAATGCGAAAATACGTCCCCCCAAGTTTTTCAGACCATGAAGACAATCTGAATTCCAATCCATCAAGGTCTTACCCTCACTATGGTTATGAAGTATCAGTATAGGAACAGCTAAATTGAGTATTTGATCTTGGAAAGAACTTTAGATCACCTAAGTCTGTTGTCATTCTCAAATTGGATTATTGGGGGAGGATAATGCAACTCAGAGAATCTTCTTCAAACATAATTTTACTTGAGTATAATTGAGAGTAGACATTTTGTGTGAAGATAAGCAGATAAACGTAAAATGTGCCTAAAGTGTAAAATGTGCATGATTTTTAAATATACATAAAACTCCAATGGAAGTTCTGGTAGCTGCTTTGAGCTAGTCCCCAGACACTGAGGGGTCCAAAGTTCACTCTGATCTACTGTTAGGGGTGGCTCAGTGAAAAGGTGAAGAAAGCAAGGATCTCACTCGGCCTGTTATTTGACAAATGAGGAAAATAAAGCCCAGGGTGGTAAATTATCTTTTCTGATGTTAGATGGGCAATTAATAGCAAAGTTAAAACAAAACTCAGGTCTTCTAACTCTAGGTTCAATATTCTTTCTACCACCTCATTTAAATTGGCTTGGAAGTCAGGTTTCCAGGTTCCTGGCAGGAGTGGAGATTGGGCTGGGGAGTGAGGGAAACAGACAATACAAAAGTCACATGTGTCAGGACAGACAGTACAGAATCTACAAGTGTCACACTGTGCTACATTGTCTCCTCCTCCCCAACATTCATGTATCAAACGTCAAAAGACACTAGTAGGAAATGGAAGGGCTATAATTCACATTTTCAATATTCCCTACAGCAAAATGATGTTCCTTGGATCCTCTATCTCATTCCATAAGTGCAGATAGTAGCACAATCAGCCACATTTTTTAAAAAGCAATCCCAAAAGAACCAACATATGGACAAGCCAGAAGAAAACATTTTTTAGTTGATATAAAACTTCATATTCTAACCTCGTATATCTCCAGAACAATAATTTTTATGAAGTCCTCATCCATGTCTGTTCTTCTGGCCTGAGCCATCTGAGCAAAGGTAGTCAGAAGGCAAATCTCTTCAGAGCTATTCATGGAAGAAAGACACTTCTCAAAGTTCACAAAATGTTCTGGGTCTGCAAGTTTATGTAAGAAAATTAAAGTGGGGAAAGAATAAATGTTAACCTATGAATATATTTTAATCACTCTTCCAGAGAGAAAGAAGATATAAAATTAAGAGATGTTTAGAAATATTTAAACATACAAAAGGGCTTTGTTCCAAAATGGATTTCCACAGGCATCAGGAAAAAGGCTGGACCAGACAGCCTCTGAAATTCCAACAGATTTTAAATAAAATGTACTCTCAGAGGAGACAGTTAACATCTAAGCCTCGGTTTTCCCCTGTCCCAAAAGGTTACTTAATTAGAAGATTAAATGATGTGTCACTGGTGAAGTGCTTTGCAAACTGCAAGGCACTGCTACCATCACTAGGAGAGCCACCTGCAAAGGCGGTACTGCCAATGTCAAGGGCACACCTGAAGCTACTCAGTAAACTGTCAGCCAGATGAATGAAGACCCTACTAATGAAAACCACAAAGACTAGCAAAGTCTTCAGCACAAACATGGCATTCCAAACAAAAGAGATTTGCTTATAATGAAAAACTGAGGGCAGAAAAATAGTTATGACCATGACTGAAATACTAACGAATGTAATAAACATTGTATGTGTGATACGTGTTGCCTATTTCTCTGAAGATGCCGTGTAAGCAATATTACACTTTGTCACTAGGAGGCAGTATTCATAAAGAATTGTGCAATACAGGACAGAAAACTAGACGTTGGAAAGGCAAAGTTTTAGAAGGAAGGGGGGAAAAAGCCTACGTGAAAAATACAACCCCAATGGAACTTTTCCCAGTAAGAAGGCAACAAGCCAATAATTCTTTTCACGTTTACACATTTGAGAAATCAAAGATAGTTTACCAAATTTCATGCATTTTCAAAACAACTCTATGTATGGGGCACTCACCAAACCAATTTTCATTTCCCATCCCCAAACTGGGTTTATAATGGAAATTATCATACAGAGCATCCCCAGAATAATAAAAATCAGAATTCTCATGCTAATTGACAATGTTTAACCTTCATGTCAAGGGAAAGGCCCTACATTTTAAAGGATTCTGTAAAAAGAACAATGAAAAAGAGAAATAACTTTCTAATTAGCTTTTAAAACATTAACTTGAAAAACAAACAAGATAAACACATTTCTATTTATCATTAAATTTATAATTACACTCTACTAGTAGTCAGAAGATTGATCCTACTAGACACAAACAAAAGAAGCCAAATTAAAGCAGGCCGATTATTAGCAATCACTGCTGAGAAATCTGCTAGTTAGGTAATGTTAAAATTGGTTAAAATTTGTTCTTTGGAAACTGTGGTTTTAGGATCACTGTGTCCCCATTATCACAGATAAATAAAAACCGGATACAAAGAAAAAGAACTTCTGGCATTTGTTAAATATAGAACGTTAGGAAAGTAAAATAAAAAGTCTTATTCTTCCACAAACAGTAAAAATCAAGCCTCCCAACAAAATCGAGTACACAAAAGATTAAGCAAATGAGAAGACAAAAAATTAGCAAGTTTGAGGAGGACTAAATATTGCAAAGACCTGACTCTCAAGGTTAGAACCTGTTAAGGCAGATGAAACTTCTCTACCTTGCCACAGTAACTCCTGGGCCAGGTGACATAGGTCTTAAGAGAGATTAAAAAAAAAAAAAAAAAAAATGCTCTGGGTGCCTGGAGTCCAGAGAGAAAACTTCCAGCAGCAAGATCCAAAGCTCCAGGGTGAAGCAAGGCTGGTACTACCTCTTCAGGTCTGGAACATCCACTCCAGAGCTGATCTGTTTGTTGACAGCGACATCTGCCACAGGTGCTAACAAGGAGCCTGGCAGACAGTAAGCACTGGATGAAAGGGGATGACACTACAAAGGAGACATACCCAAGACCAAACTGTGCAAGTGAGAGCTGGTAACCATCCTTGGCACTTCCAGAGGCAATGTTTATTTTCTGTGTTAACTATTTCACCTATAGAATTAGCTGCCAGGGAACACACAATGGGCTGGGAGGTGCTCTCACCTAACTCACTCGGAAGCCCAGGTCTAGCTATGGCACAGTCTAATGGAAGCACCTCCCCCAGAATAGTGGAGAAGCATTTTACAAAACAGAACAATGTAAAGGGGTCCAGAGCTACCACTAAAAAGACAAAAAAGAAAAACAGAAAGAGACGAAAGTGGATTCATGTAGAACACAAAAAAAGAGAAAAAAACAGAAACAGAAAAATGAAGACATCAATAATCGAGAGAAAAAAAAGAAATAAAGAAGAAAAACATAAATCATGAATATCTGAAGAAACTACCTTGCAAATAGTAGAGACTCAATAATTTTTAAAGTTTTTTTTGAAGTTTATTGTTTTCTTTTAAATGATAAAGACATTTAAAAATTTGGAAAACAGGCCAGGCACGGTGGCTCACAACTGTAATCCTAGCACTCTGGGAGGCCGAGGCGGGCAAATCGTTTGAGCTCAGGAGTTCGAGACCAGCCTGAGCAAGAGCGAGACCCCGTCTCTACTAAACATAGAAAGAAATTGGCCAAACAACTACAAATAGAAAAAATTAGCCGGGCATGGTGGTGCGTGCCTGTAGTCCCAGCTACCTTGGAGGCTGAAGCAGGAGGATCGCTTGAGCCCAGGAGTTTGAGGTTGCTGTGAGCTAGGCTAACGCCACGGCACTGTAGCCCAGGCAAGAGAGTGAGACTCTGTCTCAGAAAAAAAAAAAAAAATTTGGAAAACAGAATTAGCTTTTGGTATTTTTTAAAATCCTGTTAGTATTTTGGTTTCTTTTCTACTAAATTTTTTTTAAATGTATACTGTAATTCTTAAAAATCATTATATGTCTAATTAAATAGCCTCATGTTTTTCATTTTTAACATTATCATTTTGTTATAAATAAATACCCTGGAATTTAGTGGTGGTATGACAATAAAACCTACCAGGTTTTCACCAACATTAATTTTTTAAAGTATACCTGTCTAGTTCATAAAATAATACAACTTTAAAAAAAACAGCAATAGAAGGTATTAGTAGAACAACCAGGCACAAAATCTTAATAAATTTCTAGACAATTAATATGCATTTGTTAATAGGACTGTAAACTAGAATAATTTCACATACACATGTAAAAAGTACTTTCTAAAAATCAAAATACTGTATTTATTGATACCGTTTACGACTAATCAAATTTGGATTTCAGATATGCCAGTTGCTATCTAATAAATCAAAACAACAAATCAATCTCTCAAACTTCAAAATCATTACGCTTGAGTACAGAGTAAAATATTTTCTCCTGGTCCTTCTAAAAGTAAAAATGACACAAGGAAGAGAGAAGCCCACAAAGGTAGGGAGAGCTGGACTCTGCCCACTCGGGCGGGGCTGTACCTTGGAGCTGCTGCTTGCACTGCGCAGGCTGGAGGATGGAGCAAAGCTGCTGCAGGTTCCCGATTTCCACCTGGTGCATGAGGTAGAAAAGCTTCCACAGCATGTGGACCGACAGCGTCCCAAAGGGCATTTCGGACATAAACAGCCAAATGCCAAGTCTGCAATTTTTAAAAAGAGCAGGAATGATTTTATTTATTAGTCAGCTTCACCACACTAAGAAAGTACACAAACCTTCAGCTCTCACAGAAAAAAAGATTGTTAAATTGCACTATCAAAATTTGCACGTTTTGGGTCATAAACACCTCAAGGATAGGTAGCACCCAGTGACTCCTCAGTGATCACTGAGGTTCACACTCTTCAGCCCTATATTCAAAGGCTTCCACAATGCACCTCTGGTCTGTATTTCCAACCAGAGCCTTCTTTGCATAGAGAATATTCTTGCATTCCAACAAGCCTGAAGAGAATCTCCTGCACCTCCAGGCCAATGTCTCTCCATGTGTAAAGCCCTCCTCTGATTTCTTCCTTGGCACTATTACAGAACTCCATCCACACCTGACTTTGGCAGTATCAAACCTTCCATTTGTGGTTCCCACACTGCAGTAGCAAAAAAATCACCTGGCAACTTTGTGGAAAATGTAGATTCCCCAGCCCCACCAACAGAGACTCTGATTTTGTAGGTCACAGCTGGGGCCCAAGAATTTGCACCTTGTACAGACACCGGCGGTGACTCAGACTCAAGTGATTCTTAAACCATGCTGTGAGAAACACCTCGAGCTACTGTAATTGACGTAAACCTATTAGCCTACCATTAATTGGAGACCAGATCTTGTTCATCTTTATATAAACAAATTTGTAACTAGAGCCTTGTAGTTTAATTATCCGCTACCTAAACCAGTATCTCAAAAGCAATCAGCACTCTATAGATGCTTATTAACACAGACTGTCACATTAGAAAAAAAATTTTTCCTTGGAGCCACGGTGTTTTATTACTAAAACAGAATAAAAACTTTGAAAACAAAACAATTCTTTCTAATTTAATGAAAAATTTGCTGTTTTTTATTGTTTCTGTACGTGAGTTATATGCAACTTGAAAAATAGTTCTCGCAGCTCCCAAGGTAAAGAGACATGTGAGTTACATATGCCTCACGAGGCCCCAAGCTCAAAACTAGGGTGAGTTAAATACAACATGGTAGTTAATGTGCTAGAAAAAAATTGTGGCTGGGCGTGTTGGCTCACACCTGTGATCCTAGCACTCTGGGAGGCTGAGGTGGGTGGATCGCTCAAGGTCAGGAGTTCGAGACCAGCCTGAGCAAGAGCAAGACCCCATCTCTACTAAAAATAGAAAGAAACTATCTGGACAACTAAAAAAATATATATATAGGAAAAAAAAATTAGCCGGGCATGGTGGCGCATGCCTGTAGTCCCAGCTACTCGGGAGGCTGAGGCAGGAGGATCACTTGAGCCCAGGAGTTTGAGGTTGCTGTGAGCTACGCTGACACCATGGCACTCTAGCCCAGGCAACAGAGCCAGACTCTGTCTCGAAAAAAAAAGAAAAAAATTGTATGTGAACTCTTTCACAAGTTTTTAAAAATCTTTAAAAAAAAAAAACAACAACAAGGAAGCACTCAAAATTGTTGCTATATTTGGGGCACAACTACAAATTGACCAATTACAAATAAACCAAACTTATTAAAAGAAAAAGAAAAAAGAAAGAAATAGTGAATACCTAATCCACACCTAAGAACTTAGGCAGATGACTAGTAGCCCAAACCCACATTGACTTGAACTCTGGAAAAGCCAGCTAGACTCCTGAGCATGAGGTGAAGAAACTTCTCTAAGTTCAGGAGGGCCAGGCTTCTGTCTTATTAATGAATTATCCCAATATCTCACATGGGACCTGATGCTGTTTTATAACTCCAAAACAATGAAGGGGAATTGCAGAAGCCTTAAAAGTAATGTCATAAAACAAGGTATATTTCAAAATTCCCTACATGGAAGATGTTAAGGTCTATGGGAAATAACCTGCTCTCAGCTTCTGTCAGTATGCTTAAGCAAAGAATAAACGGAGAAAGGGGGAGGAGGATACGTTTCACACAGCCGCAAGTGTCAACAAGATAAAGTAACCGCTAGCCCAGAGGGCCGGAATGCCCTGGAGCACTGAAACGCCCAGCGGTGCCTCATGTACCCAGATAACAGGGAGTAGAATGTACTCTGACTTAAAACAAAATGTTAAATGTATTTTTGACCAAGATTAATAATGATTAATGCTGATCTAGGCTTCTGTAACCCTGCTTGCACAGATAGATGACTTTACAGGATGTGGTTTTTGCCTTTAAAAGAGCCTGTCTCTCCTGGCTCGGGGCTGCTCTCTGTGCTGCTGCCTCTCAGCGGTGCAGAGGGTGGTCGCTGGCCAGCTAATAAAGACTCACAATTTGGCTCAATTCGGTCTCTCAGTGGTCACTTCTCGCACTCCGTACCATAACAGAAGACATGCAGGAAACCTGCCTTAGGTTTTTGCTGTCTTTTGGTTTTGTTTTGTTTTAGGTTGAGGGGATAGCTACTGTCTGAAATTTCCACTGAGCGTTAAATAAATTTAAATTTCATGGCTTTAAATATTTGGTTCTCCTAGAATTTATTTCCTAAAATAAATTATGCTCAAGAACAATAGCTCTCAACATTTTAAAATGTAAAACCATTATCTCTGTAAGTGACCAGAATGAAAGCTTTGCCACTCGGCTAAGCAAGCACGAGTGACAGGAGATCAGAGATGGAGCCTCTTGCCAAGCACCACACCGGCTTCAGTGGGCAGGTGCGACTGCACTGACTCCCTGGCACCACCCTGCACAGGATTTGGTGCATCTCATGAGACCACCAAATGTATACTATACATGTAACAAAAGTCATCTGAAGATGAATTTCTAGGCCCAAGTTCTATTTATGTTAGACCCATGCTTTCTGAGTGCCTAAAAGTGGTTAATGCTTAGCCAAGATCTTTCTCTAAGTCTCTAAGTTATTCTGTTCTACATCTGAAACCACACAAGAATCCCCACTATTTACATTTGAAAAGTCCTTTATGATTTAAAAATGACTTCCACACATGACCACAATTCACTCTGGTAATATATCCATGAGGTCAATGGGATAGTCATTGTCATCATCTCCATTTTATAAATGAAGAAAGCGAGACCATAAATATTAAGGGACTTCCCAGGGTAATAATAGTAAACGGCAGATCAGGACACAAATTCAATATATGACACCCATAAATCAGGGACTGAGGCTAAGAGTCACATAGCAAAAGGGAGTATAGACAGCTGGCTCAAGAGCAGGTGAAGTAGGGGAGGGCTAGCAGTTCATGAGTTGAGCTAGGTGGGGTTGGAAGCCAGCCCCCACCTGCTAGTGGAGGGTGCAATCCTGTGGCAGAACCTGTTTGGCCCGAGACAAGGGAAAGCAGCACGGGGTGCACAGCCGTGCCCCTGCCTATGCCTCAAACGTACCTGAGGATGCAGCACAGACAGCATGATCAGAAGACATGATTTACACAGCCAAGACAGGGGACCGAGACCCAGGACATTCCTAGACCTAAAATCCTTGCAGTGAGACAACCTGAGCAATAAAGTCAGCAAATCATTTGCACCACATGCTGAGCGCCTACTGTGCCTCACTGTAGGCACTGCAGTTGGGTGTGTAATAGAATTCATCCTGTTTTCCCCTGCTCAAGGCTGCCCCAAAAGTTCAGGGGTGGCAAAAAACTGAGACATCAAAACTGACTTTTTTTTTTTTTTTTTGAGACAGCGTCTCACTCTGTTCCCCAGGCTAGAGTGCCGTGGCTTCAGCCTAGCTCACAGCAACCTCAGACTCCTGGGCTCAAGCAATCCTTCTGCCTCAGCCTCCCGAGTAGCTGGGACTATAGGCATACACCACCATGCCCGGCTAATTTTTTCTATATATATATTTTTAGTTGTCCAGATCATTTCTTTCTGTTTTTAGTAGAGACAGGGTCTCACTCTTGCTCAGGCTGGTCCCGAACTCCTGACCTTGAGCAATCCACCCACCTCGGCCTCCCAGAGTGCTAGGATTACAGGCATGAGCCACCGCGCCCGGCCAAAACTGACTTATTTTAAGACAGAAAGAAACCTGAGAGAGAGATCATTTCCATCAACAGGGGGTGCCCTATAGATAAGGAAACTAAGGCCCACAGATTTGCCCTAGAAAAGAAATAGATAAAATACAATAAGACATTATTATAAGAGATCTACTTCAGAAGACTTTCACTTCAATCTTTCTTACCAGTCAAGGAGTTACTTCTCACCAAATATCACCATGTCTTACCTTTTGGATTTTAGCACATGTAGGACAGCCCTCAAAAACAGCTCATCGAATTCCACCTGTAGTTTCTCCGTGGAGTAGGGCTGCAGGGCCAATCCTGAGCCTCGGTTATGACTCACATACTGTGCCCAGTGGTCGCTTACATAGCCAAGGGTCATCCTGAGCATGAGGAAGGACAATATAGTACTTTTCATTAACTCACTCAATATCACCACCTTTATGTTACATTTGAAGCATTAACTTATTCAACACATTTATTGAGCACCTACTATCTTCCAGGTTCTAAAAGCAATACAATGGGAAAAATTTAAAAATTCTACCTTTATGAAGTCTACATTTAGTGAAGGGCAAACAGACAATAATCAAAATAAGGTAAAATATACAGTCTGTCACACGGTTGTAAGTGAAATTGAGAAAAAGCAGGAAAGGAATAAAGTATGTCTGGGGATGGAAGGGTAAGCAGGGGTAAGGAGATTGGCTGGGAGCAGGAGAAGCCTCAGCAAACAGGGACATTAAAGTCTGGAAGATGGTGAGGAGTTAGTCACAAGAATATCTATGGCAAGAGTGTTCACACAGAAGAAACTGTCAGTGCGAAGGCTCCAAGAGACGTCAGGTATGTTTGAGGAAGAGCACAGAAGCCAGTGCACTAAAGCGGAGTAAGGGAGAGGGAGATTGGCTGGAGCCATAATCAGAAAGGTGTCAGGAAACCAGATCGTGGAGAGCCCTGCAGGCCACCGTGAGAACTTGGGCTTCCACTCTGAGTGAGATGGGGAGCACAGTAGGTTCTTGAGCAGAGAGTGACATGGGCTGACTCGTGATTCACAGGGACACTCGCTGTTGTGAGACTATACTGAAGCCGGGAGTCGGGGCTGGGCAAGGTCAGAAGCAGGGAGGTAAGTCAACAGGTTATGAATGAACTCAGGTGGAGGCAGTGAAGGTGGTGGGAAGAGGCTGGATTCTGGAAAGAGCATGCTTCGTTGATCCAAAAGGACGCACGTCTTTCACACTAACGACTCTGCAATTAGAATGTACACTAATAGTGATGACATGATGTTATAATTTGGAAACAGTTTTTCTGTTTTAGTGGCACATAGAATTTATCTTTAGAATTAGTGGCATCTTGGATTTGATGAAAGATGGTATTGTGAACATAGAGAATGATAGAATTTGCGGTTAGACTGGATGTGGGGTGTAAAAGAAAGAAAAGCCCAGGGATGCCAGCAGGTGTTTTGCCCTGAGCAACTGAAACAGGAAAGAGTCGCCACTACTAAAACTGCAAGTGGGAGAAGCAGTTTGGGAGGTGAGGAAAACAAGTTCACTTTGGGAGCATTAAATTACGACATTCGGGAGTCATCCACCTGGAGGTGCTGAGTTGGTAGTTGAATATACAAGTTTATGAGAGGTATGGGCTAGAAATAAAACTGTGAGAATAACAGTATTTAGATATTTAAAGATATAAGAATGGATGGCATCCCAAGAAGCAAGTGTGGAGAGCACAAAACATTCTACGACAAAGACATCTGCACCCAAATGTTTAAGGCAGCACAATTCACTATTGCAAGGATATGGAAACAACCCAAGTGCCCGTCAATCCATGAGTGGATTATTAAAATTTGGTATATGTTTACAATGGAATATTACTCAATCATAAGAAACGACAGTAATCTAGAACCTCTTATACTTTCCTGGATTAAACTTAAGCCCATTATCCAAAGTGAGGCACCACAAGAGCAGAAGAACGGGATCCACTTGTACTCACCATCAAATTGGTACTAACTGATCAACACTAGGGTGATCACATGGCAGAAATACTCTCCAGGGATTAGGGGGATTGGCGGCAGAGGGGGTAAATCCGCAACTAAAGGACACGGGGAGCACTGTAGGGGGGAAGGGCATGCCTTTAACCCACACTTGGGTGAGGCAAAGACATAAAGTGTAACCATAATGTTTGTACCCTCACAATACCCTGAAAAAAAAAAAAAAAAAAAAAAGAAGGGGTCCAGGGACTGAGTCCTGAGCACTCCAACATTACGAAGTCTGGAGTGAGAATGAAACCACCAAGGAGGTAGAAAATGAATGGTCACTGAAACGGAGTATTACCTGATCATATAACCAATTCGCTTCACAAACTGCCTATAGCGTGCTCTGTTAAAGGTTTCTAACCCCACAGCCAGAAGTTCCACCAATGAGTTGGCAAAGGCAAAAATTTTCATCATCTCTTGAGGTCTTGTTGTTTCAGGTAAATAATCACCTGGAAATTAATCAGATAAAAGGAAAAAGTTATAATTACTATGAAAAAATCCTAAAAGATACCGGTGTGTAAATACTTGAACGAGGAACCAAAGCCAAGATGGAGAGGAATTAACAATCCTACTACTCTGGCTCCTACATCAACATGAAATGGAAAACTTGAAACAAAGTGCAAAACTAAAAATAACTTATTAAACTGGGCAATGCACAAGCTAGCCTTCTCAAATTTAAGCACAATGTGGGAAATAACCATAAGACAAAAGAAGTCTACAATACGCGCAAGAAAACCTGAATCTGCAGCCTATACAAGAATTAAGTCAAGGTGTCCATGCTCAGGGGGAAACAAAAGAAGAAAGACTTGATGCAGAGTTCCTGTGTTGGAGCTTGCCACTGCTACATTTTACATAAGACAAAAGAAATTAGTCTACCTTTTGCTTTAAACCCCAGAAGATGTTGAAAGAGCTCATGAAATGGGAACTGTGATAAAAGGATAACCAAGTCATCCTCATTAAGGAGAATCCAGCTGGTCTCAGGGTCTTCATCCTAAGGGAAAAGATACAAAATCATGTCAGCTGATCTGATCAGATCACACTATGGTCTAGAGTTACAAGAGCTAAATTATCACAGGTCTCAAAACAGTACACATGTGATATCCTCATGAGTCTTCATGGACTTTGCCTCTAGGACTGAAATTTATAGTCTCGGTTCCACACACAGCCAGCAAATCCCCTGAAATTATAAGCACAATTTTACACGTATCTGGGTCATGGCCATGACCAGTGACTGAAACTGGTCTCATTACATTTTCATCCCAAAGAAGATGGAAAAAAGAAATCCTCTACAGTGGGGACTTTGCTATAGGGCTCAGTGTTCTGACATCACTTAAAGAACCATGTACTAGAGTCCAAGTTATTTTAGCTACAATTCTCTTCCCCCAAAATCAAGGTCTACTGTAGTACTCAATGGTCTACTGAGGAAGCAATTAACATTTGCTACGGATGATAGGAGCTCTGTTGTCAATTAGTGCTGCTGAAAGCAAGATAAAAGTAACAGAGGTCATACCCAGAGATTACATAGGGGAAAATTTGGGGAGTCTTTTTGTCTGATATATAGTACTAAAGTCACCTTAGAAAGCAAGCTTACATCTTAAGATATACTACATTAAAAATGGAAGGATGGGCTGGGCACAGCGGCTCGCACCTGTAATCCTAGCACTCCGGGAGGCCAAGGCAGGAAGATTGCTTGACCTTAAGAGTTTGAGACCAGCCTGAGCAAGAGTGAGACCCTGTCTCTACTAAAAATAGAAATATTAGCCAGTCATTGTGGTGCATGCCTGTAGTCCCAGCTACTCGAGAAGCTGAGGCAGGAACATTGCTTGAGCCCAGGAGTTTGAGGTTGCTGTGAGCTATGATGATGCCACTGCACTCTACCTGGGGCGACAGTGCCACACCCTGTCTCAGAAAAAAAAAAAAAAAAACAGATGTAAAAAGATCCTGAGAACCTAAAGGATATATCACCTCGATTTCAACAAGGAACTAATGCAATTCATTCATCGTTTCCTTAAACTACTCATTTTTACTCTCTTATATGTCTAAAATGGCTGACAAACAAGAGTCTCAGAAGCTTTACTTAGAGCAGTAGTTCTCAACTCCGTCTGTACATTAGAATTACCAGGGAGACTCTGAAACACCTGGACGTGTGGGTGGGGGCCTGGGCAAGGTCTGCACATTGCCCAGGTGACTCTAGTATACAGCTAATGTGGAGAAACCACTGACGTGGATGACCCACAGTGCCTTCCTTCCCACGGCCTCTTCTGATTCAACAACACTCCCAATTTTCTCATTGACTCCCCGAGGACCTGAACTCACACAACATTTAGTGAGCGCTAGCCAGAAGCCAAGCACCAATGCAGGGTCCTTATCTAGCCCTGGGAATAAATGCAGAAAACCTGCCAGAAAAAAGACTTCTTCCCCAAGAAAGACCACTCGGAAAAAAGAAAAAATATTGCTCCACCACAACATTTGGAAGATCAATTTGTCCCAGCTCCTGAGAAGCTCTCTTAAGGACAACTGCTCAGTCTCTAGCCAAGATGTGTGCATATCCACATGATGTATCACCACCTCACCACCTGCACGTCTCAGGAAGTGTAAAATGACCACGAAGGGGGATGCTCATCTCTGAGTGAGCACTCGGGGGAATACACAGACAGCATCACCACAGCTGCCGTGACTGTCACTCTGAGAACTGTCTGCTGCGCATCTTCATCTCCTTTTAAAGAAAGGGATTTTAATAAATCCAGTCACTGGCCATCCTGGACAAGAACATCAAATCAGGACTTGGACTAGAAAAAAGGACTAGAACTAATAATTAGCTGGAGAAAAAATAGTTATAGTAGTAAGAAAAATTAACAAGTATTATCTCAGGAAGCTGGGTTTTGATCATTAAATTCTCACCAAAAATAGAAAACCATCTTTTATCTTGCAAATGAGAAGATCTGGATAAATAGTTTATAAGAGTTAAGGGAGAAACTTGGTAAGCTCCGGCTATTCAGACCATCAGTAGGTGTGAAACCCCAAGCCCAGAAATTTGTTACCATATGAAAGAAACTCATGTGAATTTTATAGAATATGGCTATATTTAATTTCTAGGTGTCAAACTATCCCAGCTGAACAGAAGGATATCCTAGAGAAGAGTGGCACAGCACACTGGCCCAAAGCACAGGCTCTGGAAGCTCCACATCTAATGACACTACAATTGGGATAAGGTTACTTTACCGCCTCTGAACCTCAGTTTCCTCATTTATAAAATGGGGATCACAACAGTCTTACCTCCTGGGGTTGTTGGGAGAATTAAATGAGATACTACATGAAAGGTGCTTACAACAATACCTGGCACTTGAGAAGAGTTCAAAAATGATTAATCAAAATAATGCAGACATGTCGAGTTACCTCTTCTCCTCCCTCATCTACTAGGGTCCAGGTCCCAGACCCAGGCCCCGAGGAAGATGGCTTCCGTTCACTGGGCTTCATGTGGCACATAAACTCGGCTCGATTTCTAAAGGACAAGGGAAATCACTCAATCGCATGCACAAAGAAAGCCCCATATGAGTGCATTCTGGATCACCTACTCACCCTGAAGAGTCAGACATCGACCCAATCTTCAAATGGTTTAAATTAGTAAATAAAAACTGGTTAAAAATCAAGGATACTAAAACCTCACTAATTTTGGTGTTGAGACCACAACCAGTCTGACTCAGTAATGAGAACTGCAGAAGAGCAGTTATACTAGCAGTTCCCAGCACACAGTGGGAGCTCAATACATACAGACAGCTGCAATACCTGACCAGGGAGATGACCTTAGGAAGCATGCCTTATTGAATACAAAGGGTAATGCAGAGGCTTTTTCCTTTAGGGCAAAAAGTACATATAAATACAAAAACATTTGTGAGTCAAATCATATCTACCATGTGTAGAAGCAGCCCCCATATCCAGGTAGTAAGGGGAAGGAAGCTGGGAGAATTCCTGCCAGCCAAGCTTTCACAAGGTGTTGGCTAGATCTGATAAGCAGGTGTAACCAGGAAAGCTTCCTCTCAGACCACAACCGAGTTATGTCCTCTGTTCCTTCCTCTCTGCCCTGACCCTGAAATTTCACCCACTCCTACCTTTAATCAGAAACTTTCTTCGATGACTTCCAGTTCTGTAGTTCTAGTGCTGTCCTTTCAACCCAACAAGCTCCCTCCCTGAACTCCAGATGTCCACTGGTATGTGTCACTTATATGTGTCCACTTGTATGCATCGATGACCTCAAATTTTCCTCCTTTACAAAACAGCTCTCCTTTCTGTCTTTTCAGTCTGTTAGGGCTGCCGATATCCTCTCACTCAGACTCAGAAGTCCAGAGTTATGTCTGACCCCTTATTTTCCCACATGCTTTATTTTATCAGCTACTTCATCCTTTCCTGGAAAGATGAACTTTAGCATCCCTTCCTCTTTCCCACCACAATTACCCCAATTCAAGTCAGAGGTAGTTAGGCTTTCTAGAACAAAAGAGCCAGTGGTACATGGCTAAGAGTCACCTACACACAGATCCTGCCTTCTACCCCAAAAGGATGTCCCCTCTTGATGTTGGGTTGGGTTCCAGAGCCAGGAGAGCTGGACATCTGTAACCATTCAATTAAGCAGATGTGCATACTCTTCTTTTGCCTCCAGTCCATCCTAATCTTCCTTAAATACAATGTTTCCTCCTGTTTTAAAACCCTCAATTGCTACAAAGTCCAGACCATATCAAATCTAGATTCCTCCACCTCAATTTCAAGGCCTTCTATAATCCAACTCCCCCTAGTTATTCATCTTTGCCTTCCCTCCAGCTAAGCTAACCCCCTACCTGTCCTCTGCACAGCTATCCTAACCTGTGCTGGGGCCTTTGCTCATACTGTTCTCCCACCTACATGTCCTCACTAGTCCTTCTCTACTCCGGAAATCCAATCCATTCTTCAAACCCAGCTCAACTACCATGGAAGCTTCTCTAACTACTCCACTCAACTCTTTATTCTCTTCATTTTTATTGCATCAGTCATAGCTTCACAATTCAGCACTTAAATCACTTTGTGCTTTTTTTTCCTCTGGCACTAAATCTGTTCTTCCAAGGAACAGATCATCTTTTTGTGCCAGTGGCACCTTTCACAATGGCATATATGATAAGAGAGGTAAATCCACCAAAAGTGGGATCCCCAAAAATATTTGTTTATACACATATAGTTAGAGGGTCACTTTGAAACAAGAAGTATCAAACCCAAAGAAAATCTACAATGCTAAATTCCAGAATGCTGACACTTCCCTAGTAGTTCTTTGGATCTGGGAAATTTAGCAAGTCAATGCCTTGAAAGAAATAAAGATGTCAACTTCTACTTCACAAAGCTCTTTCCACACTTACTTGACAGGAGACATCAGCAGGGCAAGGGACTGCATAAAATGAAAGACCCCTGATGGGTTATTCAACACCTTGATCTGAAATCAGAAAAGGAAAAAACATATTGTAGAAAACCAATAGCCCAAGCATCCACTATCTTAGTTCACAAGCATTCTCACAAAAGTTGCTAAGAGAACAAAGCTAAAATTGGCACCTAACCAAAATAAGTGAGACGCAGCTGGGTTACCTGGCAACACTGAGTCAGCTGTACTCAAAGGGTAGAGGTAGCTGAGCAGTTTACGTCAACTACCTATAACAACATGGGAAGAAAAATACTACTGCAACTTTAACCCAAAGAAAAACAAAACCAAAACAAAAAAAATCCCCCTTCCACCTAAAAAGATTCAGACTTCTTGCCACCAGAAACACTCCAGAAAAGGAAATGTGGAGAAGTTCAACTTGGCAAACATTTTGGCTCCTGCCCATGTGAGTGGCTGCTCTCAGTAAAAAAAATGCAGCAAAGGCAAGCAGCAGAGAGGAGAAACAATAGATCATACAGTCAACTCGTAAGTATATGAGAGTTGATCACACAGACCTGACAGCTCTGATAGTATTAAAGAAGTTTGAGATGTGATTTCAATTGTGGTTTGAGAGGCATTAATTTAGGAAACTGTGTTGAGTACTATAGAAAAAAAAGTCCTGGTGAGCCTTCCTGCACAGAAATTTTATAGAATTAAATACTACTGAATCTACCAAGCCAGACTACAACTGAACTTGTGCAATTCTAT